GGATATAGAAGTTAATAACGTACAGCCAAACATAAAGAGAAAAAAAAAATTAAATTCATACAGAGAAGTACCCCAATGGTTTTTGAGTTTATACCCAGTCACCAGGCCTGATATGGTACACGAGAGCCATGTCTTCATGTTCAACCTGAGCCATCACATCACTGCTACATCCATATGAAAAGTAATCAATGCTAAATATAATAGTATGGGTACGTATTGAAGAATAAGTCTTCTACTTTGTATGAGAGTAAAAAGCACTAATAGCACACATAGCTTTACATTTTTCCAAATCTGAGTGAAAATATATTCAGGAAACAAACATAGAAACAAGAATTCTCAGAACAAAAACAGAAATTTATCCAAATAAGCCAATGAAAGAGATATACAAGCACGTGTGATATTTAGTTTAAATGCAACTATTGTCAACAAAGTTTTAAAGGATCGTATTATAGGGTTAAGGTACATTTGTTAAAAATCCCCGGTCATGGAATTCAAGTATGCCGCAAAGTGACTCTGCAAATATTAATGGAAATGCAAAGGGTAGTTGATCAAGCTGAGATGATAGTGAAAATAAGTTTCCCCAAACAAATCCCATTACAACCATCTTCTACTTCAAGCAAAGTTGCTCCCTCAAGTGCAAGTGTTAGTACTACGGGAATTGGGTCATTAATCCATGGGGTTGGTTTTGACCTAAAGAAAAGGAAGGGTACTTTTGCTCTTGAGACAGTCTTTAATGTTGTACTCAAGAAGAGCTACATAGTGAGATTGCAAGGATGGTTTACTCAGTTGGTTTACCATTCCATCTTGCAAAGAATCCACACTATTGTCGCTCCTATACTTGTGCAACTAGCAATATGATTAGTAGCTATATCTCACCTGATTATAATATGTTGAGGATTTCACTTAAAGAGAGTAACCGTTGAGAGGTTGTTAGAGCCAACTAAGCAATCATGGAAGAAAAAAGGTTTAAGTATTGTTTTTTATGGTTGGACAGATGATCAAAGGAGGCAAATCATAAATTTCATGGCAGTGTGTGAAAATGGGTCAATGTTCTTGAAAGTAATTAATTGTTAAGGTGAAATATAAGGACAAATATTTCAGAGCCGGCTTGTTTAAGGAAGCTATTGATGAGGTTGGACCTTAAAATGTGGTCCAAGTGATCATTGATAATGAACCCATTTGTAGGAGTGTGGGATTGTTTATTGAGGCTCATTATCCACACATCTTTTCGACACCTTGTGTTGTGCACACACTCAATCATGCTTTGAAAAATATTTGTGCTCCGAAAAACACCGAAACCAATAAACTTTTTTATGAAGAGTATCATTGGATTTCAATTATTGTCAAGGATTGTGTGGTGATAAAAAATTTTATTATGAACCACTCCACGAGCTTGGCAAAGTTTAATGACCACGTGCCTCTAAAGATGCTCTCAATTGTCAATACACGCTTTGCTTCAACCATTGTGATGCTCTAAAGATTTTAAAGTTATAAAGTGTGGTCTCCAAACCATGGTTATTAATGATCGATGGGCTTCTTATAGAGAACATGATATTGGAAAAACGTCACTTGTGAAGAAGAAAGTATTAGATGATTTGTGATAGAACAAAATTGGTTATATATTTTCCTTCACTAAACCCATTTATGAAATGCTAAGGAGGGTCGATACAAATATGTCTTGTCTATACTTAGTTTAGTATATGTGGGATACTATGAATGAGGAAGTGAAGGTCGTTATAACACGACGGGTCAGCTCAAATGGTAAGACTTCTCTAGCGGCAGCCAAGAGGTCCCCGTTTCGAGTCCAAGGGCCACCTACCCAGGGTGTAAGCCTTGCGATTTACTTGGTGCGTGTGATTAGTGGGGGTATTGCACGAGCCTCGAAAGTTTTCTCTAGTGACTACACAAGTCGTTGAGTCTGGCAATAAACTGTTGGAGTTTTATCAAAAAAAATTATAAAAAAGAAAAAGAAAGAAAGTGAAGGTCGCTATCTATCGTCATAAAGGAAAGCAGAAAGATGAGAAATTAGCCTTTTACTTGGTGGTTTATGAAATATTAATGGATAGATGGGGCAATAGCAACATACCGCTCCATTGCTCGGCACATTCCTTGAATCCGAGGTAATTTCTAAGTTCTAAACCTCTAGACTCTAATTTAACAATCTAGATTTCTAATAATTATCATTTCTTTACTTTTAGGTTTTATGGCGTGGAGAGCTTTCTATGGCTTCTACTCATGTTCCTCCACACAAGGATAAAGAGATTTCAAATAAAAGAGAAAAGTGTTTTCAAATATATTTTTCTAATTTAGAGGAGCTTAGAAAAACCAAAGAGGAGTATGACAAGTTTTCAGCGTACTTTACGGAATTTGCAAGTTATGATTCCATGAGTGATAGAGGAATCATGGAGCTGGCTTATTGGTGGGTTATCTATGGCTCTACTGCACCTTTGCTCTAAAACTTAGATTTGAAGTTACTTATTTCTCCTCATGTTGTGAGAGGAATTAGAGCATGTATTCTTTTACACATTCTTTGAAGAGGAACAAAATCACACTGCAAAGAGCCGAAGACTTGGTATTTGTACACTCCAATCTTAGCTTTTTATCAAGGAAATCTCCACAATACAATGAATGAGACACTAAGATGTAGGATGTTGGGAGAGATGTACTTGATTCCATGGGCAGAATGCTTGAGATTGTAGATCTTTCCCTTGATTAACCGGATTTGGAGGCCATATTATTTACCGAGTAAGGAAATGATAATGAGGATGATGAGCCCTTGGAAGTGAATTGAAGAGGGGTGTAGGATTCCTTTTGTTTTTGTGTTTTTTTGTTAGCAAACTTATGGACTATGAATGGTAATTGATGTAACTGATAGTAGAATAAAATAGTGGATGCTTATTTTTAATCTTTGATCTATTTCAATTTTAATCAAAAAAAATTAGTGTTTGCTAGACCTTATTAGTTATTATTAATATTGTTACTATGTATAAAAATATTCAATGTTACTTTTGGAGAGAAAGGTATTTGCTAGTACACCTAAATGGTGCGACCTGCTTCCTCCAATACTTACCCCAACATTAGTAGACATCGCACTACCTTTTGACATGGTTACACAACAGCACCAACACAAAAGGGCAGAAAATCACAAGAAATTACAGTCGAAAAAATGGCCCACAAACAGAAAACCACTCCAATAGCCTTCAAACAATAGCTGTGCAACTGTCCAAAGCAAAGAAGGAGTCAAACAACCTCTATAAACTATCTTAAGGCCAAACCAGTGACTGTTCATGCCTGAACAATGATGCCGACAAGCTGCTAGGGCCAAAAAACCACCAAAATCCATTTCAAATACAACCTTACGCACTGGGCAATGCAACTGAGTCCTAGTCAACCCTAATCGACCAAATCCAACCCAAAGAAAACACCCACATTGCTAAAAAAAATTGCAAATCTTGATCGGGCCAAAAAACATTCAAAATTTGAAAAAAATAATCGGATGACTTCAAAAAATAACCATAAATCTCTAGGAGAGGAGGTAATCCATATGTGTGAAAATCATATTTTTCTAACACATTTGACTGCTGACATCAGCACGTTAGCATCTGATAGGCAACACTACTAGTTGTACGATGTGTTTCCTAATCAATTTTGACAACATTGAGGCGTTAGATTTGATTATAGCTCTAATACCAAATTAGATTATCACGTCATTAGGTATTGAGAAGAGAAAGAAGAAAAAGAAGAAAATGGAAAGAGAGTAGTGTGTTAGGTTACACAGCTACATCCCAATAAATATAGCAACACAAAAATATCAAAAATACTCTTAAAGGTTACATCCTAAATAATATAACATAACACGTACGTTTCAAAATTTCTCTCCCCCTCTTTTCTTTTTCTCTCCTCTTTTCTCCAGCCCCAATCAGTTATTACTATATTTCAACTATTAGAGCACACAACTTAAAATCAATTGGCAATGAGTGGAGTAACCTTTGAAGGATATAAATCAATCTTGGTGGTCCTAATTATTCGATGTGTGATACAAACTCTATTTACAATATGGAAGTACGGTAAAATAAGAAATGACGAAAGTAGGAATGAGTATATTTGTGAAACCATAAATATAGTACCAATAGGAGATAAATTAAGAGATAACGACTTGGTTGTTTCCAACATGTTTATAGAAGATCTATTAATAAGCACAGAAACAAAAAAATATATATACTAATGAATCAGTGAGAGATTAATTTGATACATATCAATGTGTAACACAAATTAACTTTGAATGGAATCCTAAAAAATGATATGAATAGCTTACAATTTAACAGAAAACATGAACCTTGGTAGAGAACGATAGAGAAACAAGATCCATGTAGCAAACCCCAAATAATTGAGAAAAAAGTTTGTTGAGTTGCATTTCTCAACTTCTAAGGATATAGGTACAAAATATAATAGTGTAACGATATAAGAAAATAATTACTTTATGATAAGCAAATCTCATGTCTGACCTTAACATGAATTTTAGAACTAATGACCCATAGAAATCAACAATCACTCGTCTCTTGTAGACAAATATAGCAAGTGTACAAAGTTACACTAATTCCTTTCATTTCCCAACTCAAGTTCTTTTGGTAAAATTTTTGTGTCTTTTGCATTTTTAATAATTTTTAAGTAAAGCTATAATATGATTAGTCTTAATAGGTTACAATGTTTACCTGGTATGAGAAACTTGCAAATCAAAATTTTGGACTTTTAAATCACACATTTAACAAGTGCCCAAGAAATATCTAACACCATTTTTGGTGATAGATACGATGCGACCAAAGAACCATTGAATAATGATCCTTAGTAATATTGCAACTAAAGGTGACCCACCATGATATAACACATAACATGATGTTCATTAAGAAGTTGGATTGCCGGGTCCTAGTTAATAGGGCAGAGAGTATGAAAATTAATATGCACTTTAGAAAGATAATACATTAGGGATAAGGAAATTAATGTTAGTCTGACAACTGAGGGAACTTGAATGGAACAGTGACGCACCGAGTATTCCTCGGATTGGAACGGATTTGCACGTCATCAATGCGGCAATAATCTTTGAGCTTCCTTATGTACTCATCAACTATTAGCTGTACACCCCTTGATCTTTTCTTTCCCACCGTTAAAATGCGTATAGGTATTGCTCTCTGCACAAACATAAAAATTAAATTTACACGATATTTTTGGACTTAAAATCAGCTTTACGCAGTGAAGATACGTATGTAAGGTGTAGTTGAGAAAATTGGATTTGACTCTCTCTCATTCACAAATTTTGTCAATTTTGGTCGGTTAAACACTGAATTGCTCCACCACAAGTCGAAACCACTGCATTCTAAATTTAACGGTGCGTGATTCAAATTGACTGCTGAGGATCATATAAAACCATAGAGGGCTAGTACTAAAAATGTTTTAAAAAATTTTGAGAACTCGGTGGATTTAAATTACACTGAAAGAAAATATAGAAAAGGGAAATAATTTATAAGAAAATATACAGATAGTTTACCACTGATTGACCCGTGTGTTTACATCGTCTCCCTGAAAAAAAAGAAATCAATGAGATATACAGTATCGCAATGTTTTCGTTAGAAATTGACATATCATAGAGGTGGATGAAGATGGATAAAATGGAACATTATTAGATTATACAAACCTGGAGGAGGAATCGAGTTCTTCGTGCTGAAACTAGCGAAAAGCGAGACTGCCATTGTGTGTGTGGGGCCCTTCAAGGTTGAACCTGTGATATCTGGTGGACGGTTAACAGATTAAGGGCATTTAACGCCTCTTCTTCAAGGAGGAAACGATAAACGGAATGTCTTGTTATTCGTATGGGTTAATTGCAAATTGTGCACCAAAAAATCTCTTGAATTTTAATTTATACCCTTAAAGATTAAAAATATTAATTTATACCCTTAAAGATATAAATCTATATTAATGTGAACATGAAACTAACCGTCATTTTTTCGTTTATAACTAAATACGTAAATTACTCTTAGATCTTTGTAACTTAATCACTAGACTCCCTCACATTTAAATAATTATAACTACACTCTCTGACGTTTATGCACGTGTAACACATAACATCCAGTCCTTAATACCCGTTAATATAATCACTAAAAAATATGACGACAAAAGATATAACAGAAATGTAGAAGAACAAATTTTGTGGCTAAGAGTGTTTATGGTAAGGTATTTCTTCTCTCGGTTTGCTTGTAAAATGTGAAAGACTCTTCTTCAAAATGACCCGAGCACACCTATTTATAAGCTCCGATGGAGGGTTTAAGGCGGAGGACACCCAAGGCAACCAATCAAGGCTTTGGTTGCATTAATGGACCAATGGGAAAAAAGAAGAAGGTGAGGCAATTAAGGTCACTGTTCAGACGCCACCACCACCGTCCGGGCGGTGTTTAGTCTGTAGTCTTTTGCATGGGTGGTTTCACCATCTGGATGGTGCCTCAATTCTAATCTTTTTCCTTTGTCCTTTGTCCTTTCTTTTTTTTCTTTCATTTTAGCCCTCCAATTCTCCATAATTGCATATAAAAACCTACAAAATAAAGTTTTTCACACATTAGGTGTGAAACCCAGAAAAATTTGAACTTTTTCCAACAAATGGCAAAATAGTAATTTGTCACTATTATGCGGGATTAAAATGCATATTTTTATAGAGCTCGGATGAAGCAAGGGACTTCACCGTTAGATTTGTATCACAAAATTGAGTTATCACGTCAAATTTCGTCGAATTCAGAAATAGTTGAATTTTGCATATTTTTCGAGACAATTGGGTGGCGAATGAAATTTTAAACATCCCCAAAAAAGAAAATTATAAAATTTCCTTATAATTGAATACAAGTTCAAATAAAATTTATTTGAACTGAAATCGGGATTTAATTCAGTTGTTTCAGGTTAAAAACGGATCTGAAAATGATAAACGTGCGAGATAATGTGGACCGCGCAATTAAAAGTATAAATAGGGCTAAATATCTGAAAAATCAGATATTCACACCCTTGTTCAGCACACCACACGCTGGAGAAGAGAGAGAAGAGAAAAAATAGAAATTTCAAGCTTTCTCCTTCGATCCAAGAAGCTCCGTTTGTCGGAATTGCTTGATCCAAGAATTAAAGTTGGTCTTCTACGCGACGAGGGTTATGCGTACGTACCAAGAACGAGGAATTTCACCGAAAATTCAAAAATGTGAGATTTGGGAAATCAAAGGTTTTGGGGCTAAGGCGGTGCTTAGAAGCTTTCTATCTTCATCTCACGCTCAAAGAGGTAAAGTTTCTTCTACTTTGGTTCACTTTCTTACCTAGGGTGTATTTGGAATGGGGTAGGAGTATGGAATAACCTAGGTCATTGACCATGGTTGAGGAAATGAGAATGGAATTTGGCCTAGACCAATTCCTAATTATGTTGGCATAGGAAATTACTTGTGTGATTTCCTTGGAATTTGATATTTTGGGCATGCTATATGTTATATATTATGTTTTGTGAATGAGGTGGAAACTCTTGTATGATAACATGAATTGTTGTCTTAAAGGTGTTTGTCGAATCAAGTTGTTATGACACAGTGATGTATAACATGCTTAGAAAATGTGTTGAAAAGAAATGTTAATATGTGTTCATTAAGATATTGACATTGTATTAATTTATGGAATTTATATGCCTATAATGTAAATTGCCATAACACATGTTTAGATGTGTGGTTTAATTTGTCCATTTGACCTCCATTACATATGGGACATGATATGTGTTTAATTTGGCTCACGACATTCATTACATCGCATATGCACGGGAACACATTGCATTTCATGGGTGTGAGTGCATAGTTGATATCAAACACCAAGCAGGTGGGCGATAAGTGGGCTCGGTACCATTGGATCAAGGTCCGACAGAGTCGCACAGTTGCATAGCATGAAAAACTTGTGTCGAGTATAGCAAAAAGGGCTAGACACGTCCTCGGGTGCAAGGCCCGACTACTGATTTTTTACACTTCCTACAGTACAAGTCCAAAAAAGTGTATCGGTTTGTGGAGCCAATGGTGCGACACCAAAAGTCCTCTACCCAAACAAAGACACATGGTTTTATTATATAATGATTTCATTTGATGGGAAAAACATCCATGAATGAAGTGGTTTTATGAATATATAGTGGGTGTTTGAAAAATCATTGGATGTATTTCATCAATGATAAATGTAGTACACTTGCATTGCATGGTGTGGTGAGAGCCAGTAAAGGCTTGAGTTGATGTGCATGAGTGAGTCTCATCTCATTTCATGGTATGACATGATAGATTCTAACATGAATTGAATATTCTTGCATTGGAATGGATATTGGGTTGAGTGTTGTTACATGTATTCAATTATATGCACTTAGGTGGGGAGTAGCCCTTGTAGGAAGTATTCTACTGGGCGTTGGCTCACCCTATATGGGAAACATTTCAGGTACAGGACATATTCCGGTGGATGACACACATTCGGGGCCTCTATGGTGAAGGAGAGTCAAGTTGTGGCTCTTGAACCGAGTTTTATGTAAAACTATTGGTTTAATTCAATTTTGGCATGTAAATTGTATGCAATGGGTTGTAATAGACTTGTATAAATCATGTATAATGTAGAAAATATCCTTATACATGTTTGAGATGAATTTCGAAGGGTTTTGATTAAATTGGAAATCGAAAAACTGACGTAATATGAAATTCTGGGCAAAACCTACCGGTAGTTAACAAGTAGTACCTGTTCTGCAGACAATAACTACCGGTAACCAACAGGTAGTACCTGTACAACAGGCAATAACTATCAGTAGCTTACAGGTAGTACCTGTCTAGTGGGAGGAAACTACCAGTAGCTTACAGGTAGAACTTCTACCGGTAGTTATAACAAACACCTACCGGTAGCTCTTCCAAAAATCTGAAAAATCTAAAATTGTTTTGCTAACCTTTTGAAGTCATAGCCTCCAAGTTCAAGGAGCTCTTCATAGGCAAGTATTTTCCGGTGGCCATGAGACATACAAAGGCCTGGGAGGTCTTAGACTTGCAACAAGGGACGATAACGGTGATGGAATACATTGCTAAGGTCACGGAGTTAGCATGTTTCGTCNATTCCTAATTATGTTGGCATAGGAAATTACTTGTGTGATTTCCTTGGAATTTGATATTTTGGGCATGCTATATGTTATATATTATGTTTTGTGAATGAGGTGGAAACTCTTGTATGATAACATGAATTGTTGTCTTAAAGGTGTTTGTCGAATCAAGTTGTTATGACACAGTGATGTATAACATGCTTAGAAAATGTGTTGAAAAGAAATGTTAATATGTGTTCATTAAGATATTGACATTGTATTAATTTATGGAATTTATATGCCTATAATGTAAATTGCCATAACACATGTTTAGATGTGTGGTTTAATTTGTCCATTTGACCTCCATTACATATGGGACATGATATGTGTTTAATTTGGCTCACGACATTCATTACATCGCATATGCACGGGAACACATTGCATTTCATGGGTGTGAGTGCATAGTTGATATCAAACACCAAGCAGGTGGGCGATAAGTGGGCTCGGTACCATTGGATCAAGGTCCGACAGAGTCGCACAGTTGCATAGCATGAAAAACTTGTGTCGAGTATAGCAAAAAGGGCTAGACACGTCCTCGGGTGCAAGGCCCGACTACTGATTTTTTACACTTCCTACAGTACAAGTCCAAAAAAGTGTATCGGTTTGTGGAGCCAATGGTGCGACACCAAAAGTCCTCTACCCAAACAAAGACACATGGTTTTATTATATAATGATTTCATTTGATGGGAAAAACATCCATGAATGAAGTGGTTTTATGAATATATAGTGGGTGTTTGAAAAATCATTGGATGTATTTCATCAATGATAAATGTAGTACACTTGCATTGCATGGTGTGGTGAGAGCCAGTAAAGGCTTGAGTTGATGTGCATGAGTGAGTCTCATCTCATTTCATGGTATGACATGATAGATTCTAACATGAATTGAATATTCTTGCATTGGAATGGATATTGGGTTGAGTGTTGTTACATGTATTCAATTATATGCACTTAGGTGGGGAGTAGCCCTTGTAGGAAGTATTCTACTGGGCGTTGGCTCACCCTATATGGGAAACATTTCAGGTACAGGACATATTCCGGTGGATGACACACATTCGGGGCCTCTATGGTGAAGGAGAGTCAAGTTGTGGCTCTTGAACCGAGTTTTATGTAAAACTATTGGTTTAATTCAATTTTGGCATGTAAATTGTATGCAATGGGTTGTAATAGACTTGTATAAATCATGTATAATGTAGAAAATATCCTTATACATGTTTGAGATGAATTTCGAAGGGTTTTGATTAAATTGGAAATCGAAAAACTGACGTAATATGAAATTCTGGGCAAAACCTACCGGTAGTTAACAAGTAGTACCTGTTCTGCAGACAATAACTACCGGTAACCAACAGGTAGTACCTGTACAACAGGCAATAACTATCAGTAGCTTACAGGTAGTACCTGTCTAGTGGGAGGAAACTACCAGTAGCTTACAGGTAGAACTTCTACCGGTAGTTATAACAAACACCTACCGGTAGCTCTTCCAAAAATCTGAAAAATCTAAAATTGTTTTGCTAACCTTTTGAAGTCATAGCCTCCAAGTTCAAGGAGCTCTTCATAGGCAAGTATTTTCCGGTGGCCATGAGACATACAAAGGCCTGGGAGGTCTTAGACTTGC